CACCCCACACCGCGGTGTCACCCCACGCTATGGCATCACCCCACACCACGGTGTCACCCCACGCTATGGCATCACCCCACACCACGGTGTCACCCCACGCTATGGCTTCACCCCATTGCCTCAGTGTCACCCCACGCTATAGCATCACCCCACACCACGGTGTCACCCCACGCTATGGCATCACCCCATTGCCTCAGTGTCACCCCACGCTATGGCATCACCCCACACCACGGTGTCACCCCACGCTATGGCATCACCCCATTGCCTCAGTGTCACCCCAGGCTATGGCATCACCCCATTGCCTCAGTGTCACCCCACGCTATGGCATCACCCCACACCACGGTGTCACCCCACGCTATGGCATCACCCCACACCACGGTGTCACCCCACGCTATGGCATCACCCCATTGCCTCAGTGTCACCCCACGCTATGGCATCACCCCATTGCCTCAGTGTCACCCCACGCTATGGCATCACCCCACACCACGGTGTCACCCCATGCTATGGCATCACCCCATTGCCTCAGTGTCACCCCACGCTATAGCATCACCCCACACCACGGTGTCACCCCATGCTATGGCATCACCCCACACCACGGTGTCACCCCACGCTATGGCATCACCCCATTGCCTCAGTGTCACCCCACACTATGGCATCACCCCACACCACGGTGTCACCCCACGCTATGGCATCACCCCATTGCCTCAGTGTCACCCCATGCTATGGCATCACCCCATTGCCTCAGTGTCACCCCACGCTATGGCATCACCCCATTGCCTCAGTGTCACCCCACGCTATAGCATCACCCCACACCACGGTGTCACCCCACACTATGGCATCACCCCATTGCCTCAGTGTCACCCCACGCTATGGCATCACCCCACACCACGGTGTCACCCCATGCTATGGCATCACCCCATTGCCTCAGTGTCACCCCACGCTATGGCATCACCCCATTGCCTCAGTGTCACCCCACGCTATGGCATCACCCCATTGCCTCAGTGTCACCCCACGCTATGGCATCACCCCACACCACGGTGTCACCCCATGCTATGGCATCACCCCACACCACGGTGTCACCCCACGCTATGGCATCACCCCATTGCCTCAGTGTCACCCCACGCTATGGCATCACCCCATTGCCTCAGTGTCACCCCACGCTATGGCATCACCCCACACCACGGTGTCACCCCAGGCTATGGCATCACCCCATTGCCTCAGTGTCACCCCACGCTATAGCATCACCCCACACCACGGTGTCACCCCATGCTATGGCATCACCCCACACCACGGTGTCACCCCACGCTATGGCATCACCCCATTGCCTCAGTGTCACCCCACACTATGGCATCACCCCACACCACGGTGTCACCCCACGCTATGGCATCACCCCACACCACGGTGTCACCCCACACTATGGCATCACCCCATTGCCTCAGTGTCACCCCACGCTATGGCATCACCCCACACCACGGTGTCACCCCATGCTATGGCATCACCCCATTGCCTCAGTGTCACCCCACGCTATGGCATCACCCCATTGCCTCAGTGTCACCCCACGCTACGGCATCACCCCACACCACGGTGTCACCCCACGCTATGGCATCACCCCACACCACGGTGTCACCCCACGCTATGGCATCACCCCACACCGCGGTGTCCCCCCCTTGCCCTGCTGTCACCCCTCCAACCACGCTCCTCCCCACGGCAGCACGACAGCGACGTCTCTGCCTACACCTACGAGCGGACGCTGATGATGGAGCAGCGCTCCCAGATGCTGCGCCAGATGCGGCAGGCGCAGGTGACCTCACCTGTGACGTCACGTGACGTCACACACCTGTCACGACGCCTGTGGTGACGTCGTCCGTGACGTCACAGCGACGCCTCACCCCGTCACAGGCCCCCAGCACAGCCGGGGAGGAAGAGGAGGAGGAGGAAGAGGGAGGAATCCCTCGGCGAGGACCCAGCCCGTGAGCGGCACTGGGGGGGACTGGGATGAACTGGGGCCATACTGGGATGTACTGGGAGGGTGCTCAGGCCCGTACTGGGATGTACTGGGAGGGTGCTCAGGGCTATACTGGGATGTACTGGGAGGGTGCTCAGGGCCATACTGGGATGTACTGGGAGGGTGCTCAGGGCCATACTGGGATGTACTGGGAGGGTGCTCAGGGCTATACTGGGATGTACTAGGAGGGTGCTCAGGGATGTACTGGGAGGGTGCTCAGGGCCATATTGAGATGTACTGGGAGGGTGCTCAGGGCTATACTGGGATGTACTGGGAGGGTGCTCAGGGCTATACTGGGATGTACTGGGAGGGTGCTCAGGGCTATACTGGGATGTACTGGGAGGGTGCTCAGGGCTATACTGGGATGTACTAGGAGGGTGCTCAGGGCCATACTGGGATGTACTGGGAGGGTGCTCAGGGCCATACTGGGATGTACTGGGAGGGTGCTCAGGGCTATACTGGGATGTACAAGGAGGGTGCTTAGGGCCATACTGGGATGTACTGGGAGGGTGCTCAGGGCCATATTGGGATGTACTGGGAGGGTGCTCAGGGCCATACTGGGATGTACTGGGAGGGTGCTCAGGGCTATACTGGGATGTACAAGGAGGGTGCTTAGGGCCATACTGGGATGTACTGGGAGGGTGCTCAGGGCCATACTGGGATGTACTGGGAGGGTGCTCAGGGCTATACTGGGATGTACAAGGAGGGTGCTTAGGGCCATACTGGGATGTACTGGGAGGGTGCTCAGGGATGTACTGAGATGTACTGGGAGGGTGCTCAGGGCCATACTGGGGGGGTGCTCAGGGCCGTACTGGGTTGCACTTGGGGGGTTGTGGGCCATACTGGGACAGCACCATCGCATACTGGTTTGGGGGGGCACAGGGAGGGTCTGGGCCATGGGTGAGGGGGGGGTTCCTGGTGCTGACGGGCTGTACTGGTTCCAACTGGTTGTACTGGTTCCTGCTGGTCAGGGGGAACGTGCGGCGCATGCACGCGGCCGAGCGGCTGAACGAGGTGCTGGGGCGGCACTCGGGGGGGGCCCGCCTGGTGCTGCTGGACCTGCCCCCCCCGCCCCCCCGGGGGCCACGGCCCCTCGATAACTGTATCCTGGAGGAAGGGGGGGGGGAAAGGGGGGTGGGAAATGGGGGAGAAATGGGGGGGGGGACAGTGGGGAAAGCTGGGGGGGAATGGGAAAGTAGGAGAAATGGGGAAGGTGAGGAATGTGGGGATGAAGTGGTCAGATGGGGAGCTGTGGGGTGGAGGGGTCACTGGGGCAGTTGTGGGGCAGCCATGGGGCAGAGGGGGCTCTGGGGTAGCTGTGGGGCAGCCATGGGGCAGATGGGTCAGTGGGACAGTTGTGGGGCAGAGGGGTCACTGGGGCAGCTGTGGGGCAGCCATGGGGCAGAGGGGGCTCTGGGGTAGCTGTGGGGCAGCCATGGGGCAGAGGGGGCTCTGGGGTAGCTGTGGGGCAGCCATGGGGCAGATGGGTCAGTGGGTCAGTTGTGGGGCAGCCATGGGGCATAGGGGTCACTGGGGCAGCTGTGGGGCAGCCATGGGACAGATGGGTCAGTGGGGCAGTTGTGGGGCAGAGGGGTCACTGGGGCAGCTGTGGGACAGCCATGGGGCAGAGGGGGTTGTGGGGCAGCCATGGGGCAAGGGGGGCTCTGGGGTAGCTGTGGAGCAGCCATGGGGTAGAGGGGTCACTGGGGCATCTGTGGGGCAGTGGGGGCTGTGGGGCTACCATGGGACAGAGTGGGCTGTGGGGCAGCCATGGGGCAGAGGGGTCACTGTGGCAGCCATGGAGCTGTGGGGCAGCCATGGGGCAGAGGGGTCACTGTGGCAGCCATGGAGCTGTGGGGCAGGTCCTTGACATGGGGCAGACCTCGAGTTCCTGGAGGTGCTGACAGAGGGGCTGGGGCCGGTGCTGCTGGTGCGGGGAGGGGACGGGGACAGCCCTGGGCCCTGAGCGCACCAGTACAGACCAGTGCTCCCAGTTCGCACCCCAGCGCTCCCAGTACGATTCCAGCCTGAGCCGCAGCTCTTCAAGCATGATCCCAGTACGGTCCCTGCACTTCCCAGTATGGACCCAGCGGCTCTCCCACTATGGACCGAGCCAGTGCTCTGCAAGTCAGGTCCTATTACGGACCAGTGCTCCCAGTATGGACTCTTAAGGCTCCCAGTTAAATGCCAGCCTGAGCTAAAGCAGGATCCCAGTATGGACCCCAGTGCTCCCAGTTGAGCGCCACCGCTCCCAGTCCAGATCCAGGCCTTTGCCAGCCCCATTGGATGCTCCACTCCCAGTTCCATCAGCCACTGGTCCCAGCCTCACCGGGACATCGCTCCCATCGGGGAGGGTCCAGACCCATCCGGTACCGGTGAGTGCTCCCGGTCCCAGCCTTCCCCATCATCCCCCGTGGGGCATCCCAACGTTAAACTGGGGTTTAACACCAGGGCTCTATCTCAATGCATTCACAAAGGCGCTGCCGTCCCCAAGCGCTCATTAACGCGCTAATTAACGTGCTAATTAACGCGCTAATTAACGTTTCTCTTCCTGCCCCCCCTTCCCCAGGCCGAGGACAACGAGTGGGACGACTGAGCCCCCCCCCCCCCCATCCGCTCCAAGCTGGACCCTCCAAGGGGCTCCACCACCCCCTCATCCGCTGCTCCACACGTGCAATAAAGGCCTCACTAATTACTTAACGAGCGGCTTAATGAGCGCTTTAATGAGCTTTAAGCCGCCGCAGCGCGGGGGTTGCCGGGCGTTATGCAAATGAAGCAGCGCTTCAGCCAATAGGGGAAAAGCTGAGAGGAAGCGCCAATGGGAGGCGGGGCTCCTCCTCCCCGCGCGCGCTGCCCGACGGGCGGAAGTGAGGAAAAAAAAACCCAAAAAAAAAAAGGAAGAGGTTTTGTTTTTTTTTTTTAAAAAAAAGGGGGAGGGAAAAGGAAAAGGAAGAGAGGAAAAAAAAAAAAAAAATCCCTTCGGCAGCGGCGGAAAATGGCGGAAAATTTAAAAGGTTCGCGCGGGGTGGCGGGAACCGGCGGCGGGAACGGCGCGCCGCTTCGCGCGCTTTCTTCCCGCGGCGCGCGCGGCGACCGTTTGGCGGGAGATAAGTGGAGGAGGGGGGGGGGGGGGGGGAACGGAACCGAACCGGTACCACCGGGGGGGGGGAGGGGGGGGGTAAATGTCGGTTCCGTTCTTTCCGTTAACGCGGTCCCGTTTCCCCCCCCCCTCTCCCGCAGCCCCATCGTGCTCCGTGTGCTGCAAGTCCTCATGGCCGCAGCTGCAGGACCTGTGCCGCCGGGAGCAGCTGCAGTGCCGGGCGCTCGGCATCAGCCGCCGCAACCTGGGCGACTTCGAGGTGGAGTACCTCTGCGACTACAAACGCGTGCGGGTGAGTGGAACCCCCCCCTCTTCCTAAACCCTTCCTTTCCCCTCACACCCCATAGGACACCCCCTAATCCCCTGCCTCCCATAGAACGAGGAGTTCTACCTGGTGAAGTGGAGGGGATACCCCGAGGCCGCCAACTCGTGGGAGCCCCGCAAGAACCTGCGTTGCCGGGGGCTCTTGAAGCAGCTCCATCAAGACCTGGCCCGTGCTCCCGGGGGTCCGGTGCAGCCCGGTCCTCGGGGGCTGCCCGCCCGCGCTGTTTCCTACCTGATGCAAAAGGCAGAGCAGCGCCGGGCGCTGCGGTGTTGGGAGCAGCTCCTCAACAGCACCCGCAGCCACCGGGGCCGTATCAGGGTGGAGAACGAGGTGGACTTGCACGGGCCCCCCCGGGACTTCGTTTACATCAACGAGTACAAGGTGGGGCCCGGCGTCAACCTGACGCCGGTGGCTGTGGGTTGCGAGTGTCAGGATTGCATGGCGGAGGCGGCGGGCGGTTGTTGTCCCGGTGCTTCCCACAACAAGTTCGCCTACAACGAGGCGGGTCAGGTGCTGATCCGAGCGGGGCTGCCCATCTACGAGTGCAACTCGCGGTGCCGCTGCGGCGCCGACTGCCCCAACCGCGTGGTGCAGAAGGGCATCCGCTACGACCTCTGCATCTTCCGCACCGGCAACGGCCGCGGATGGGGGCGTGCGCACCCTCGAGCGCATCCGCAAGAACAGCTTCGTCATGGAGTACGTTGGGGAGGTGAGAGACCCGGGGGGGGGGGGTGGGGGGGGAAATGGGGTGTTTTGGGGGGGGTTTAATGGAGGGAGCAGAGCTGTGACCCCGTTGGTCCTGCCCCAGATCATCACGTCGGAGGAGGCGGAGCGCCGGGGCAGGTTTACGACCGGCAAGGGGCTACGTATCTCTTCGACCTGGATTACGTGGAGGACGTGTACACGGTGGACGCGGCGCACTACGGCAACATCTCCCACTTCGTCAATCACAGCGTGAGTGCGGGGGCGGCAGGAGGTTTGCTTGATAAGGGTGAATTCGGTTAATATGGGCGAATTTGGTTAATATGGGCGAATTTGCTTAATGCAGGCAAATTTGCTTAATGCAGGCAAATTTGCTTAATACGGACAAATTCGGTTAATATGGCCAAATTTGCTTAATATGGCCAAATTTGCTAAATACGGCCAAATTTGCTTAATATGGCCAAATTTGCTTAATGCAGGCAAATTCGCTTATAATGGGCGAATTCGGTTAATGGGCCAAATTTGCTTAATATGGGAAATATTCACTTAATATAGTCAAATTCGGTAAATATGGGCAAATTCGGTTAATGTGGGTAAATTCGGTTAATATGGGCAAATTCGCTTAATATGGGAAAAATTTGCTTAATATGGGCAAATTTGCTTAATATGGGCAAATTTGCTTAATATGGGCAAATTTGCTTAATGCAGGCAAATTCGCTTATAATGGACAAATTCGGTTAATGGGCCAAATTTGCTTAATATGGGAAATATTCACTTAATATAGTCAAATTCGGTAAATATGGGCAAATTCGGTTAATATGGGTAAATTCGGTTAATATGGGCAAATTCGCTTAATATGGGAAAAATTTGCTTAATATGGGCAAATTCGCTTAATATGGGAAAATTCACTTAATATGGCCAAATTTGCTTAATATGGCGAAATTTACTTAATATGGCCAAATTTGCTTAATATGCGCAAATTCGCTCAATATGGGTAAATTCGCTTAATATAGGTAAATTCGGTTAATGTGGGTAAATTTGCTTAATATCGGCAAATTTGCTTAATATCGGAAAAACTCGCTTAACATGGGTGAATTTGCTTAATATGGGCAAATTCGCTTAAATGGGTGAATTTGCTTAATATGGAAATATTCGCTTAATATGGGCAAATTTGCTTAATATGGGAAATATTCGCTTAATACGGGCAAATTTGCTTATTATGGGCGAATTTGCTTAATGTGGGCAAATTCGGTTTAATGTGGGCAAATTTGTTTAATATGGGCAAGTGGGAGGGGCTTTATCTGCCGGGGCGGGGCCTGTTGGCTTATCTATGGAACTGGGTGTGGCTTCGTGGGATGGGGGCGTGGTTTACCGGGGCTCCGCCTACTGCAGGGACACGGCATCCTTAATGGAAGGGGCTGATTGGTCAGCAGCATCCCTCCTTGCAGGGGGGAAAACTGGTTTTAGCTGTCAAGGGGTGGGACTTGCTTTAGCACCGCCCACTGTGTGGGGGGCTCTTATCCAATGGCAGCGCAAGGGGGGCGTGGTTTCACTGGTTGTGGGCGGGGCTCCGCCTCCCCGCAGTGCGACCCCAACCTGCAGGTGTACAACGTGTTCATCGAGAACCTGGACGAGCGGCTGCCGCGCATCGCGCTCTTCGCCACCCGCTTCATCCGCGCCGGCGAGGAGCTCACCTTCGACTACAACATGCACGGTACCGGCCCCTTCCTGCCCCCCAAGCCCTGCCCCACGGCTCAGCCCAGCGCTATGGGGCACCAAACACACACCCCCCCCCCCCCCCCCTTCTCCCCTTCATTGTGCTTTGACCCACAGTGGACCCAGTGGACGCCGAGAGCACCCGCATGGACTCCAACTTCGGGCTGGCAGTCGGGGGCTCGCCCCGTGCCCGGGGCCGTATCGAGTGCAAGTGTGGGGCTGCCGCTTGCCGCAAGTACCTCTTCTGAGCCAGGCAGCGCCGAGGCAAACACGCTTGTTGAACACAGAGGGGGGTCTGTGCCGTGCCATGAAGGGGACACACACACACACACACACACACACACATATGAGTTTTGGGGGGGGGGGAGTTGGTGTCAGGCGTGCTGGCGGCGCCACACGATGACGGTGCCGGTGGCGTCGCTGGAGGCCAAGAGGCTCTCGTCGCAGTTGAAGGCAACGGCCAGCACGGCGCCGCCGTGGCCCTGCAGCGTGTTGACGGTGGCTCGCGCCGTGCGCCCCACGTCGAAGAAGTGAACGCAGGCGTCCTCGCTGCCCGTCACTGGGTTAAAAGGGGTGGGGGGGGGGGGTGAATGTTGGGACATGTTCCCTGTCCTCAGTGCCCCCAAACAGGACCCCAACCACCCTCCCGTGGAGCCCTGTGTCCCCCCTCTGCCACGTACCCACACAGGCTCCCTGCCGGAAGGACATGAGGGGACAGAAGCAGCTTCGCAGGGGCTGCTCCCGGTGCTTCGTGGGGAAGCTGCGCCGCAGCCGCAGCCCCGGCGCCCCGGAGCCCTCCTCTTCCACTACCCTGTGGGGATAAAAGGGGGTGAGCTTTCTGCCCCTCAGCACCCCATCACCCCCCCCATGAACCCCCCTTTTGGGGTGTCCCCCCTGTACCTGAACAGCAGCAGACGGTCAGGGCAGGCATTAACCAGCAGCGAAGGGTCAGGGGCCTCACGACTGCCCAGGCCCGTGCAGAGAGTGACGTGATGGAGCCTCCTGCTTGCACCACCACGCGCGAGGCCTTCGTCAGCCGCCCTGAGGAAGGGGGGGGGTACGAAGTGGGGGTCAGCACCTTGTGCTGCCACAGAGCCACCAGCACCCCCTATGGCTCCCACCTACCAGTGCCAGGGTCACAGAGGAAGGAGGAGACGGAGCCGCGGTCGTCACCGGCCCAAAGGATGCGGCCGGGGGCATCGAAGCAAAGCGCCAGCACCCGCCCGGGCAATCGGCCCGCGCCGCCCCGTGCCGGCTTCCCCGTGGAGATGTTCACCACCCGCACCATGTGCCGGGCGCTGCCCACCTGGGAATGCCGTGGGACACCCCGATGGGATGGGGATGTGACCTCCCCAGCCCCTCAGGGTTGGGTTGCTGGGATGGAGGGAAGGGGTAGGATGGGGATGTGGGGGACCAGGATGAGGTGTGGAGGGTGTCAGTGAGCGGGGGGGGTGGTTGTTGCATCCAGGACATGTGGGATGTGGGGAGGGTCGTGGGGAGATGCTGGGGGTGCCACTGACCACAGTGAGGTTGTTGTTGAGCGGCTGGAAGGCGCAGCAGAGCAAGGCAGCACCGTCGGGGTCGGGCACGCGGCGGATGCAGCGCCCGTCGGCGGGAGCCCAGAGCCTCAAGGTCCCATCCAAGGAAGCCGACACCAAGACGTCGTTGGAGAGGGACCAGGCGAAGTCGGCCACGCCGCCGCCGTGACCCCGCAGCACCTGCAGCACGGCCGGCGGCCCCGGCGCCAAGCGGCACACGGAGATGGTGCCGTCCAGCGAGCAGCACGCCAGCAAGTGCCGGTCGTCGTGGGCGAACTGCACCTTTGGCACTGCCCAACCGCGATGGTCGTCAGTGTTTGGGGTGCCCTACAGCCAACACACCCCACACCCCCCCTTTTCCCAGTGCCCTCCCGGTTACCGGCGCTGTCCGTGTGCTGGTCGAAGACGTGGTAGACACCGGCGAAGGCGTAGTTCTCACTCAGGGTGGTGTCCCCGGCCATGGCACGGCTCGCTTCTGCCAGGGGGGTGGGCACCACGCCGGGGGGGCTGTGGAGAGATGTGGCTGGGACTCAGCACCCAAATACACCCCCCCCCCGCCATACACATACGCACACAAGGACCCAGAGGTGCTCACCGCTCGTCGGGGGCCCCGCGGGGCACCCCAGGGTGGGAGCCGCGGCTGAGGGAGCGCCGGTGTCCTCGTGCCACGCGTGGGTCGTCCTCAAAGTCCTGGGGGAGAGGAAAGAGTTGTGGGGAGCAACTGAGCCAGAAGGATCCCAACCCAAAGGCGGGGAGGCCTCACCCCCCCCCAACACGTTCTGCAGCCCTGAGCTTCATAGAATCAGACTGGGTTGGGGTGGAAAGGACCTTAAATCTCATCCAGCTCCAACCCCTGCCACTGGCAGCGATCCCTTCCACTGGAGCAGCTTGCTCCAAGCCCCTGTGTCCTTGGACACTGCCACAGATGGGGCAGCCACAGCTTCTCTGGGCACCCTGTGCCAGCGCCTCAGCACCCTCACAGGGAAGAGCTTCCTTAAATCCAATCTAAATCTCCCCTGTCCCAGTCTGACCCCATCACCCCTTGTCCTATCAAGTCCCTGATGCAGGCCCCTCCCCAGCATCCTTGCAGCCCCCTTAAGCCTCTGAGCTCTCCTCGCAGCTTCTCTCCTGCAGCCCCAATGTCCTCAGCCTGGCTCCTATGGGAGCTGCTCCAGGCCCTGCTCATCCTCGTGCCCTCCTCTGGCCTCGCTCCACATCCTGACGCCGCCACCAGCACTGCAGTGCTGCAAGCGAGGTATCACCAGAGCAGAAGGGGCAGGCGGGGGGGCTCTGTTCTGTGGTTGATGCCACCCCCCATGGGGTTCTGCAGCCCCTCGAAGCGACGCCGGCCCCCCCCCCCCCATTCCCATCCCCATCCCCATCCGTACCTCCATGCGGTCCAGCGTGGTGCGGCTGGCCCGTAGGGCGCTGCTGCTGTGGGCCCGGCAGCTGCTCTGCTCGGACAGGGCCCCGTAGCGCTGGGCCAGGAGTCGGGTGCGCACCCGCAGGTACCAGCGCCGGGTGCTCCCTTCCAAGGCTCCCCCCTGCGCTTGCTCCCGCAGTAACTGGCTCCGGCGCCGCACGTACTGGGTCCGGAACTGCGGCCAGCGCGGGGTGCGGTAGGCCGCGTACCTGCGGACACCGAGACCCCGCTACCGGCTCCTGTGTCGTTGTGTCCCCCCCCCACTCCCCCAACCCCACTGGGGCAACTGGGATCCTCCGTGGCACGGACCCAGGGCCTTGACAGGGCGCAGCCATCAGGGCTTCCCCCCCTCCGGAGCTCACCTCGCATCCACGGCGAGCACTTGCTGCCACACAGCGGCCATGGCGGCGGCGGCGGCCGCCCCGCAGGGGCCCTAAAGGAGGGGAGCGGGGTGAGGCCTAGGCCCGGACCGGGAGGACCGGGGTGGGGGGGGGAGCGGGTCCTGCCGGGCCCGAACGCCGGTACCTTCCCGTCCCGCTCCACCTCCGCCTCCCGCCGCCGGGTCCCCGTAGGGCCGGGCCGGGGCGGAGCCACCGGGGGCCGGGGCGGAGCCACCGGGGGCCGGGTCCGGCCTCGGTCTCCGCCCCTCCAAAATGGCGGCCGCCGCCTCACGTCAAAAATGGCGCCGGGTGTTGCCGTGGTGACGGTGGTGGGAGGGGCCGTGCCCCTGCTAGGAGGGGCGTGGCGAGAGTGGGGATTGGCTGAGAGCGCGGAGGGGGCGGGGCTTGTTGACTCTTATGGCGCGACATTGCCCGGCTCTTAATGACGTTACAGCCCCCCCCGCCTCGCCGGCTTTGCGACATCACGCGGCGCTTGGCGGCACCCATCCGCCGTGCAGCGATCCGGGCTCGCTTGACGGCACCCATCCACCGTGTGGCGAACCGGGCTCGCTTGGCGACAGAAGGGCAGACTCGCTGCGCGACGTTTGCCACGTTTGCGACATCACGCGGCGCTCGGCGGCACCCATCCACCGCGTAGCGAACCGGGCTCGGTTGACGGCACCCATCCGCTGTGCAGCCATCCGGGCTCGCTTGACGGCAGAGGGGCAGACTCGTTGCGCGACGTTTGCGACATCATGCGGTGCTCGGCGGCACCCGCCGTCGGCGAACCGGGCTCGCTTGACGGCAGAAGGGCAGACTCGCTGCGCGACGTTTGCGACGCTCAGAGGCACCCATCCACCGTGTAGCGAACCGGGCTCGCTTGACGGCAGAGGGGCAGACTCGTTGCGCGACGTTTGCGACATCACGCTGCGCCTCGGCGGCACCCATCCGCCGTGTAACGAACCGGGCTCACTTGACGGCACCCATCTACCTTGCGGCGAACCGGGCTCGCTTGACGGCAGAGGGGCAGACTCGCTGCGCGACGTTTTGCGACGCTCGGCGGCGCGCTTTACGCCAGGGGGATGTGTGGGGCGGGCAGTGGAGGCCCGGTCCGGGTCCCGGTCTCGGTCCCGGTCCCTCCGTGACCCCCTCCCCGCCCCCCCCTCCCCCGGTGCCCCGCAATGGCAGCATGCCGCTGGCCGTGAGCTGGCCGTTCCCCGCGGGGCAGCCGCTGCCCTGGGCCGTTGCCAGCCGCATCGTTACCGGCCTTGTTGGCACCTACAGCTGCGTCTGGACCCGTGAGTGCCGGGTGTAGGCCGCGGCGGAGCGGAGTGGGGGGGGTGGGAAGGGGGTTCACGGGGGTCACCGTGAGCCTCCCCCCCCCCAGGGTACCTGAACCGGTTGCGCGTGCACAACGCGGAGGTGCTGCACGAGCTCGTGGAGCGGCGCGGGCCCCTCACCCCCCTGCTCACCCTCTCCAATCACCAGTCCTGCATGGACGACCCCCACCTGTGGGGTACGGCCTGGGGGGAAGGGGGGGGGGGTCTATGGGGGTCTTTATGGGGGGTTTCTATAGGGGTCTCTGTGGGGGACTGGGGGGTTTCTATGGGGGTCTTTATGGGGGGACTGGGGGGTTTCTATGGTGGTCTCTATGGGGGAACTGGGGGGTTTCTATGGGGGTCTTTATGGGGGAACTGGGGGGTTTCTATGGGGGTCTCTATGGGGGGACTGGGGGGTTTCTATGGGGATCTTTATGGGGGGACTGGGGGGTTTCTATGGGGTCTTTGTAGGGGGACTGGGGGGTTTCCATGAGGGTCTCTATTGGGGGGTGCTGGGCGGTCTCTATGCAGGACACTGGGGGGCTTCTATGGGGGGCTCTATGGGGGGGACTGGGGGGTTTCTATGGGGGGAATTAGGGGTCTCTATGGGGGGACTGGGGGTTTCTATATGGGGGGTCTCTAGGGGGAGACTGGGGATTTCTATGGGGGTCTCTATGGCGGGACTGGGGAGTTTCTATGGAGGGGACTGGGGGGGTTTCTATGGGGGTTTCTGTGGGGGTTGCTGGTTTGGGGGGGGGGCTGGGGGGTCTCTGGCCTATTGGGGGTGTGTCCGGGGGGGGTGTCTATGGGGGTCTCTGGGGCTCTCTGGCCTTATGGGGGGCCTGGGGTCTCAAAGAGCATCCCTCATTTGTGGGGGTGCCCTGGGGGGTCTCTATGGGGGTCTCTGGCCTGAGGGGGGGGGGCTGGAGGTTTCTATGGGGGTCTCGAGATTAAGGTGGGGGGGCTGGGGGTCTCAATAGGGGGTCCCTGGTTTGAGGGGGAAGCTGGGGGATCTCTATAGGGTTCTTGGGCCTAAGGAGGGGACCTGGGGGTTCTCTATGGGGCTCTCTGAGGGGTCTCAATAGGGTCCCTGGTTGGGGGGTAGGGCTGGGGGGTCTCTATGGGGGTCCCTGGTCTGAAGGCTGGTCCGGGGGGGGGGGGGGTCATCTATGGGATTTTCTGGCCGGGGGGGAGGGGGAGTCTCCATGTATCTCTCTATGGGTCTCTGTTTGTCTATGGGGGTCCCTATGGCTCTCTATGGGGTCTGTCCCCATCCGTCTCCCCCCGGTAATCCCCCCTTTGTCCCTTGGCCCAGGTTCCCTGAAGCTGCGCCACATTTGGAGCCTGCACAAGATGCGCTGGTGAGGGGGGGGTGGTGGGAAGGTTTGGGGGCTCCCTGACACCTCCCCCCCCCCAAATTCACCCCACCTCCCCCCCCCCAGGACCCCCACAGCCGCTGACATCTGCTTCACCCGGGAGCTGCATTCGCTCTTCTTCAGCCTCGGCCGCTGCGTCCCCGTGTGCAGGGGTGAGACCGGGGGGCACTGGGGGGGTGCTATGGGGGGGGGTGGGGGTTTAGGGTTAGAGACTGGAGGGCACTGGGGTTGTCCCAGTTTATACTGGGCTGGGTTAGGGAGTTTCTGGGGGGGGGGGTATGGGGGGGTTCTCTGGGGGGAAGTTCTATGGGGGGGGTAGGGTTAGAGACTGGGGGACACTGGGGTTGTCTCAAGTTATACTGGGACATGGGGGGGGTTCTATGGGGGGGTAGGGTTAGGGTTAAGGGACTGGGGGCACTGGGGTTGTCCCAGTTTATACTGGGCTGGGTTGGGGCGGTTCTATGGGGGGGGTCCTTTGGGGGGGTTCTATGGGGGGTAGGGTTAGAGACTGGGGAGCACTGGGGTTGTCCAAAGTTATACTGGGCTGGGTTGGGGGCGGTTCTATCGGGCGTGAGTTTATTGGGGGGGGAGTTCTGTGGGGGCGTTAGGGTTAAAGTTAGGGACTGGGGGGCATGGGGGTTGTTCCAGTTTAGACTGGGCTGGGTTGGAGGGGTTCTATGGGGGGGTCCTCCGGGGGGGTTCTGTGTGGGGTTAGGGTTAGAGACTGGGGAGCACTGGGGTTGTCCCAAGTTATATGGGGACATGGGGGGTTCTATGGGGGGTAGGGTTATGGTTAGGGACTGGGGGGCACTGGGGTTGTCCCAGTTTATACTGGACTGGGTTGGGGCGGTTCTATGGGGGGGGTGATGGGGATGTTTTCTGGGGGGGGTTCTATGGGGGGTTAGGGTTAGAGACTGGGGAGCACTGGGGTTGCCCCAAGTTATACTGGGACATGGGGGGTTCTATGGGGTTGGTTCTATGGGGGGGTAGGGTTATGGTTAGGGACTGGGGGCATGGGGGTTGTCCCAGTTTAGACTGGGCTGGGTTGGAGGGGTTCTATGGGTGAGTTCTATTGGGGGGGAAGTCCTATGGAGGGGGATTCTATGTGGGGTCCTATGGGGGGATTTCCTATATGGGGGGTTTTATCAGGGGGGTCCTATGGGGGGCTCCTATGGGAGGGTCCCCAGTGCATTACATGGGTGCATGCAGGGGACGGCGTGTACCAGCGAGGGATGGATTTCATCCTGGACAAGCTCAACCAGGGGGACTGGGTGCACGTCTTCCCCGAAGGTACCGGCGATGGGGGGAGAGCAATGGGGCTGGAGGGTGGGGTGGGACTGGGGGGGGTCGCCTGTGCTGCCCCCCACCCCCCCTATGGCTTCCTGTTCTCCCACAGGCAAAGTGAACATGGGGCAGGAGTTCGTGCGCTTCAAGTGGGGTGAGCCCACAAGCCCCCCGTCTGCCCCACAGCTGTGGCCCACATCCAGCCCCTTCTGCTCCACAACCCCTCATCTGCCCCACAACTGTGTCTCACATCCAGCTGCCTCTGCCCCACAACTGTGCCCCACATCCAGCCCCTTCTGCTTCACAACCCCTCATCTGCCCCACAACTGTGTCCCATATCCAGCCACCTCTGCCCCACAACTATGCCCCACATCCGGCCCCTTCTGCCCCACAACCACCCCGTCTGCCCCACAACTGTGCGCCACAAACACTTCCCTCTGCCTCACAACACCCTCAAATGCTTCTTGGCCCTCATTACCCCCACAACACCCTCCCCATTGCCCCTTTTCTGCCCCCACAAACGCTGCCCAGCCCCACAGAGCCACCCTTTGCCCCCCCATAGGCATCGGGCGTCTCCTGGCTGAGTGCCGCCTCGACCCCGTCGTCCTGCCCTGTGGCATGGGGGTGAGCAGGGCTTGGGGGGGGGGGGGGGGGGGGGTTGTAATGTGGGGCAGGAGGAACGGGAGTGGAGAGGGTTGTGGGGCTGTGGGCAGGGCGATGTGGGGCTGGCTCCCGCTGTGGGGCCGGCTCCCGCTGTGGGGCCTGTCCTGGTGCTCGGCCACGCAGGCAGCTGCTGACCCCATGCCAGGCATGAACGACGTCCTCCCCAACACCCGCCCCTACGTGCCCCGTGTGGGGCAGGTGAGTGAGCTGGGGGGGTGGGGGTGATGCTATGGGGCAGAGTGTTGGGGGGGGTGCCACAGGTTGAGCTGTGGGGCAGGGCGTGGGGTACTGACACACTGACTCTGCCCCATAGCGGATCACAGTGGTTGTGGGGCGACCGTTCAGCGTCCGGCCTCTCCTGGAGCGGCTCCGGGCTGAGGGCACCTCAACGGTGAGTACCTGGGGGGATGCCCTATAGAAGATGTGGGGCTGCTATGGGGTATCCCCACAGCTCTGTGGCCCAGCCCCATGAGTTCTATGGGGCCTGTTCCCTCTGCCCCACAGGTGGAGATAAGGAAAGCGCTGACAGACTTTGTGCAGAAGGAGTTTGAGGCACTGCGGGGCCAGGCCCGGGCGCTCCATCGCGCCCCATAGCCTGTGGTGTGCCCCACGGAGGAACAGATGGGTCTGCCCCACACACAGGGGCCTGTGCCCCACAGGATGACAGCCCCACAGCCTCGCAGATGGACAGACTGCCCCATGGCTCCCGCGGCACCATGGGGCACAGGTGAAAGACAGACTGATGGACGGGCATCCTGCCCCATAGTGTGCCCCACACCCACTGCCTGTGCACGGTGCCAATAAAGGGGGTGAAGCCTCAGCGGGCTCTGTTTTGGGGCCCCCAAAGAGCTGTGGGACGGACACGACCCTAACCTGATCCCATGGGTTTATTGAAGCAGAAGCTGTGTGAGGGGGTCCCATTGCCCACACCCAGGGGACCCCCGTGGAAAGGATATGGTGGGGGGTGCTCAGAACCCATTGAAATGGGGCTCAAACCCCTTCCTGCCCCCCCACTACAGCAGCAGGGTCCCATATATGGGGGGGGGGGGGGTGTCCCTGGAAACACCTTTGAGTCCTGCCCCAGGTCTTGGGGTGCGTGCCTGGTCCATTCACTCCTCCTTTTTGTCCCGAGGGCCATCATGGGCTGCCTAATGGGGTGGTTTAGGAGGTTAATGTGGGGGGCCAAGGGGGTGTCAGGGGGGTAAGGGGGTGTCAGGGGCCCCCATACCTGCAGGCGTGCGTGTTGGTCCAGCAAGCGGTCGTATTCCCGGGTCAGCCCCTCTGCCTGGCGCCTCATGGCTTGGACCTCGTTCTCTGCCTTCTCCAGGGCTTATGGAGGGGGGATAAAAGGGGGGGGGGGGGCGTTAGGGTCACCCCCAAACCCCTATACCCCCCCCCCTTTTACCCCCATCCCACGCCCTTACTGCGCTTGCTGGCTGCCAGCTCCTCCTTCAGCTTCTCCACCTTGGCCTTGAGCGTCTCATTCTCATCTTGGGTAGGGGAGGAACCACCCCCATCGCCCCCCGCCTCCTGTAGCTGCTGGGGAAGGGGACACCAGGCTTGGGTCCAAGCCTTGGGGTGAGTGTGGGGGTGTCCATCCCTCCCCCCCCCCCCCCCATACCCTGTTCTTGGTACCTTCCGTAGGGCATCGTTGTCCTCCATGTAACGCCGGGCGGCCTGGCTGGCCCCCTCGGCCTGCTTGCGGAAGGCCTCGCTGGAGGCACCCAACAGGGCCTGCTGCGAGATGAGGGTGACGAGGCGGCGGAGGAGGCTGCGGGATAAAGGGAGGGTGAGCACAGCCCTGGACCCCCCCCTTCAGCACCCCTAAATCCCCACATTCCCCCCCCCCATTTCCATCACTCACAACGAGAGCAGGAGCGCGAACCCGGCCAGGTAAAGGTTGCGCTGAGCGCGGAAGAGCTTCATGTGGAAGTGCTCCAGGGCGCCGGGGCTGCTCCGCAGGGCCTCCCGGTCCGTCACGTCGTACTTATGGGTCTCCCGATAGGCATCTATAGGGAAAACAAGGGGGGTGTGGGGTGTCAATACAAGGGGTGTATGGGCAGCACCCCCGCCATATTACCCTGCACACACCTAAGAGCAGGAGGACGAGGATGACGATGAGGACGATGAAGACGGTGTTGCCGTACGCCACGGCCAGCCCCACCAGGCGCGACTTGAAGATCTTCTGCCATCTAAAGGTGGAGGGGGGGGACAACGGGGAGGGGATGGGAGCCGAGACACCCCCCCATCACCCCCCATTACCCCCTATAGACCCCGGGGATCCCCCCCCCAAACTCCAGCCCTACCTGGCCGCGGACACGAAGGGGATGCAGAGCAGGAGGACGAGGAAGACCTCGGCATAGAGAAAGGTGGCGACCGCCGTCCATTGCAGGCTCATGGCGGCCTGAGGAGAGGAGGGGGAGGCAAAGACAGCACCGATGGGGACCGGATCGCGGCTCCCCACCCGCCCCCCCTCCGCTTCCCTTCACCGGGAAACCCCCCCCCCAACGTTCCCGAACTGGGATCGCGATCGTTTATCGCGATCGTTTATCGCAATCGTTGATCGCGATAGTTCCCCCCTACCTCCCCCCGATTCGCACCGTCCGGTAGCGGCGGCGCCGCGCCCGCCACTCCCGCCCCTACCGGAAGTAAGGTTTAGGCCCCGGAGCGGAAATCCCGCCCCCTCCTAGGCGGTCACAGCCAATCAGCGCTGCCGGAAGTGCAGGTGAGGGAGTGGGCGGTGCCATTTGCCGTTCGTTACGCGGCCATGACAGACTCGGCAACAAAGGGGCGTGGTTATGCAAATTAGAAACCCGTTGGAGCGCAGGGGACGCCGGGAGGCTTCAACGTTGGGTTGGAGCGGGGGTGATCCGGGAATCAAGGCACGGGAAACCGGGATGAACGGTGGGGAAGAGCGTTGGGATGGGAGAAGAACGGAGGGGGAGGGCGGAGAAGGGTGACCGTGATGTGAGTGAGTGCGGGCCCGCTCCCAGTCGGGTGCAGCGGAGGGTTTGCGTTTGTTTGTCGGCCTTTTAGGTAAGATCGGGTGTAGTATCTGTTCTCATGAGTTTAATATGGGATATGGCCTCAATGATGGGGCTATATACTGATAGCGGGAATAAAAGGTTAACGTTGTGCCTGCTTGGTGAAGCAGAATTGGAGGAGTTACACCCGCCAGGCAGAACTGTAGCAGGTCAGATTCATAGCTTAACACTGAAGACGTTCAAAGAGCATCCAGAGAAAGAAAAGGAACAAAAGACACCCAGGAGGAACAACGTTTGCAAGCTGGACAAGTTCCTGCTTTAAGAGACATAAAACTTGCATCGAACCTGAGGTGTGGACGGGAGCCAAAACCCCATTGAGTCCGCGTGAAAGCAAGAGGTTACTCGCGGTGATGAAGAGGAACTACAAGCCTTCATCCTCACGACCCCCATATCAACCACCACCAGGAGGCACTGAGCAAGCGCACCAATGGGAACGAATGCGTGGAAGCTAATTATAATCCTAGACGGGAATAGGTTTTGCATATGTATGAGGCGTGAAGCAATCTCATGTTTAGGTCATCATTACGTGTAATATAAATGAACCGAGCGGCAAAGGAAAGGTGCGCATGCTACGGAGGAGCAATCCCCATGCGCCTCAGCGCTGAATAAAGCATACCTGCTTTACAACTAATGAGCTGTGGAGGCTATCCACGTATCAGTATTAAGCGGATTTTTTGGGTGTGATGCCCCATATCTCAGTCCTGCTCCTTTTCCTCCTCTTCTGCTCATAGGACCCCAAATCATCCGGGCTGAGGCTTCCCTCCTGTTTCTGCCCATGGGAGCCCTAAAGCTGGCTCCTCCTCCTGCTCCTAGGACCTCCAAGCCCTGCTCCCTCCTCTTCTTTCTACTGACCACGGTTCTTCTTCTCCTCCTCCTCCTGCTCATAGGGACCCAACCATCCCCAGGCTGGATCTCCTCCTCTTATAGGGAGGTTCTGCTCATGGGGACCCCCTGCTGGCCTTCCTCCTCCTCCTCCTCCTGTTCTTCTTCAAGCACTCAAGTTCAGGCACAGCCCCATTTACCGGACACCCTTGTCTTTAATAACAAAGCTCAGCCCCTAAAATAGTCCCAGTGAA